AATCGACTTCTTTAAATGTAGTACGTACGCAAATCCTGGTTACCCGGTGTAGTCATGACTCCGGATTCGTGCCAGAGAGCTATAGGCAGATAAGTAAGTTGTAAGTAAGAAAACTTCCACGAATCACTCATTCAGAAATGGTTCTTATCTGTTCAGGTGGATCAATCAGCGGATGCTGTCGAGTTTCTGAAAGAACTCGGTGTTAACCTCAGCGACATAAATCTATGTGGAGGTCATTCTACTCCGAGAACTCATTGGTAGGATTTTAGTATTCAAACGTTTCAATTTCTGCTCCGCTCGCCGTGTCCGTTTCTGCCCGTCCCTTGACATTCTTCGAAAGGTAACGCTTGTTCTCACCGCGTGCCACTGAATTGGCTGCTCCCGCGCGCGGCAAAACTTAGGCGCAAGCTGTCCATGTCAAACCGTGCGCAATGAGAACACCTTTTACGTCTCACCTAATAGACTTTTGATGTGATTTTAAGGAGATTTTGAAGGAGAAGTTCTAGGTGATGTGTCTTGGTATATTCGATTTCGTATTTTTTCCACTGATTATTTCAGGCTTCCATCACCAAAGGAGGGTCGTCCCACTCCGGTAGGATTGGGCATCATAATGGCTGCTAAGCAGCGCATATCGGACATTGCAAAAGCCAGGCCTGATGACGTCACAATCCACACAGACACTCGCGTGGTAGGACTCACTTCATGGAATGCTTATGTCAATGGAGTGAATGTGATACAGGATGGGAAAAGAAGTAAGTTATGAAATACTGAAAAAGTAGTTTTTAAATTTGAAACGCTACTATTTGAAGAAGAAATCAATGGAAAGGCGGTGATTCTTGCAACTGGTGGATTCAGCGCTGACAGGAACGAGGACGCTAGTCTGCTGCATGAATTTGCCAGTGATAAGGTTTATTCAATCCTCTGGCTTTTGATAGGATTCACTGACCATTTTGTCAAAGGAGTCACAGTTTCAAATCAGTTTTAGCTACGTTTTCCAACCACTAATGGTGCGTTTGCTCGTGGTGATGGAGGTGAAAATGGCACGTGCTATGGGTGCTCAGGTTCGAATATTCGTAATGAGTTTTATTCTCAACTCTTTTTACCTTCTTGACTCAACCTCTTTGAGGGCCTAGGTAGCTAAGTGAGGGATACGCGCCGAGACAAGGCGCGTCCGCTAGTAATTATTTCAGCTTACAATTTCCTAGGTAGTTGGTATGGATCGTGTTCAAATACATCCAACTGCATTTGTCGACCCGGCTGATCCTTCAGCTGGTACGAAATTCCTTGCCGCTGAAGCGCTTCGTGGCAAAGGTGCTATCCTTGTGAGTAACCGATCCTGACATTGAGTTTCTCGACTTCTTGATTGACTGCTTTTCAAAAGATTCTACATTTATAACGTAGTATATTCTCCAAACCGTCCAAAAGCAGAATTTCTCGAGAATGTTCGCGGGATTCCCTGAAAATTCCTGAAACTTCAGATAAACTCGGAGGGTGTCCGATTTGCCAATGAACTTGGTAGACGAGACTATTTGACCGACAGGATTCTAAAGGACTGCAAACCTATTGAAAAGTTCCAGGTAGAGTCCCCTTGAGTACTTGATGCTCTATTAGTTCTCGTACTGATAGCCACATTCAGGGAGGGTCAGCTGGTCTGTCAGCAGCAATTATGTTGATGAACGATGAGGCGGCAGATTCATTCGGAAGACCGGCGTTCAATTTCTATGCAAGCTTCAAGAAATTCTTCACGGTGAGGGCTCTTTTGAGAATATGTATTGAGTTTCGTTAAAAATTTGGTGTAACAAAGGGGCGCAGATAGGTCAGTGACCATGCAATGCAATGACTATCTTAGCAACCCAAGGGTATAATTTATTGCGATGTTCCTGTCCAACAACATGCCAAGCCTCCTCCTCCTCAGACAATCTTCTTTTTCCAACCAAGCCTCAGCACTGCCAGAGAGGTGAGCTCCGCTTTGTTTCCGGCTGAATCTTATAGTCATCTGGTCGACATCATAGATAAATAGTTGCCATGAACGTTCTGGCCTGTTCGGATGAAGTGGGAACTTGAACTAGTCACCTGCTTTTGATCACGTGCCACCCATATTTCTCAGTAGGTAAATACAGAGAGCGCAACAATGAGCGAAGTGCAGTGGTTAAGAGTCTCCGCCCGATTACCGCGGGAGATACCATCTGGGGTGGGCAAGGCAGAAGTGAAGAATGATCGAAATTGTATAAAGAATGTGGCAGAGTATGGCGATAGAGAAGTAGATTTCCCAACGTAGAGATATCTTAGTGAACAGAAGACATAGCGGTAGTGCTGACTAGCCAAACAGCAAGTAAGTCTCCATCGGCGCAATTCGGCTTGGTGTGGGGTGGGAGCATTGTGGTTTCGTGACTGTCACAACGTGGGTTCATAAAAATTTACGGTCTCCGCTCAATTACTCGAGTTGATGTCCAAGTAGCGAAATTGTTAAATGCCCAAACACTCCCTCCCCCACCCCGAGCCGATGCCCTTGACACTCTGTATAATGAATTTCTTCTCCCTTTTCAGAAGTATAATTCGGCGAAAGAGCTTGCTGATGCTCTAGGAATTCAACCGAATGTTTTGGAGCAGACATTGACAGACTACAACAAATATGTAAAGTCGAGTACAAGTGGCACCAAGGTGGCTAATTTCTGTATTTTCACTGGAATTCAACTATTGCGTCATCTGATTTTCTTGGGATAGTTTCGTGAAGTGTCTATTGGAATAATTTTCCCTGTAGGATTCCTTTGGCAAAGCTGTGTTCCCTGTGGCAATAGAACCGGATCAGCCTATCTACGCTGCCATTATCACTCCTGCAATCCACTACACTATGGGAGGATTGAAAATCGATAAGCAAGTGAGAAAATTATTCCTTCAAAAACAAGTTTCCGAAAATCTTATGGTTCATTATCAGGCTCGCGTGCAGAACGAGTTCATGAACCAACCATTCAAGGGTCTTCTGGCTGCTGGTGAGGTTACAGGTGTGTTTACTGCTTCTTATTCTTTGAACACTTTCTAACTTTCAAAGAGAATAGAAGAGTTTCACATTCCTATGGTTATTAATTCCACACATTGCTTTCGGAGTAGTAGTGTATAGGTAGCGGGAGGTTAGATGTAGATGGTTGTCAGGTTGCCCACCCGAGAAGAGTGATGGAAAGTCGAGAAACCCCATCGATACTGTTCTTTTTTCGCGGCTGATTCCGAACACACAGTGAATGAACAGCGGACGAGAGAGCGCGGAGTCGAGCGAGACGACAGGCACGAGTGCATCGACCAATCGCGGTCGCTCTGAGGCGGAACTTCCTCCGGTGGGCGGTTCTGGGTTGACGTAAGTGACTGGCGCCCATCTAGCTCAATTTAGAACTGTGTAATCCGTCCGAGATTGTGGACTATTCTCCATTGTTCTCAGGACGGATTGCTCTACACAGGGTATTGTGGGATGATTCTTCAAGTATTGTGCCTAGCATGTTGGTGGGAGAGGGGGTAACATCTTCACTTCCGTCGCGGCGAAATAGTCGCTGCAGCTAGGCAGCTTTTGCACCAAGGCCAATGAACCCAACATAGCAGTGCTTCGATGCGTCGATTCTCTCGACTCTTTCTGCACCCGCGCCTCTAGAGTCGACTAATCTCTCTAAGCCTGGGTCTGTCTAGACAACTGGCTAGGAAATACTGTGCTGGTGCGCGCGATGCCGCGACCTGTAAGTAACTCTCCACACCTTGAGGGCTGCTTGAGTGCGAGCTGAGAGTGGTGCGACCAGATCTGCCAATCTTTGCTCTTGCAAAAAGTGTGATTCGATCTTTCAACGAGATCAGCCTCAGAAGAGTATAGACGACCGCAATTGGCACATGCCCCATCCTCTCGCCAATCTGCGTTTATGCCAAAAAGATTCAATGTTCATGTAGCTGCCTGAGTTTTTTCAACCATTCGTTCTGAGGAATGGTGCCGAAAAAGGGAAATATATCTTGTAATTTACTCATTATTGGAAGTTTTCAACTCGTTGAATTCTTTCAGGAGGCGTCCATGGTGCCAATCGACTGGCAGGAAATTCATTACTCGAATGCGTGGTATTTGGGAGGATTGCTGGTAGAACAGCTGCGGGCACAAATTACAGCCATGAAGAGCTTTGAGCTTTTACAGTTGTAGCATTCAGCATGTGATCATCCACGAGTTCTTACTTAGACGGTTGTTTCATGATCGGGAGACCATAATTTCATTAGAAGCATAGTATTCCTGTGTTCACCTCATTGTGATGTTCGGCTTGTGTGTGTTGTCCGTACTGCCATAAAGCATTTTCTCTCAAATGCTGTTTTTCACGACTGAATGCGTTAGCGAAGCAGCGCAGCTATGCGTTTATTTGTACTAGTGTGGAGTAGTATTGCAAAAATTCCATTTTTGAAGTTACAGAACAACGAGGAGTTCGGAGGGGTCTGCATGGATCGTGGCCAATTCGTCGATATCGGAGAGTTTGATATCGATGCCGTCGATATGGATTGTGCGCCACAATCCGCTGAACATTATCTGCAGCAGGTCCGTGGGTAGTTTACTTGGCGCTAACGTAGTTGGTTGAGTACTCGGCCGCGTTTCTGTTTATCTCCCAAAAAAAGGGTTTGGTCGTAGCGCAGACAACCACGGTCGCCAAGGGACAGTCCCACAGAGATGACTTGGCTCCACTACGCTTTGACTAAAGAGAATGATACGGAACAAGGCACATCGTAGTTGGGGAATCCCTAACGGGGGAGTCGTATTTTGCAGCCAGGAGAAGGGAGTCGTATTTACGTTTTGGCCTCTAGGGGTGGTGATTGGATTTTCCTCTTTTCATGTGTACTAAATATCTCGCCCCCTTCTCCCGCTCGATAGCAAAATTCTCAGGTAAA